GGGGGAATCTTGGATTCTCCGCCGGGAAAACCGGCAACCGTTCCGCTCCGCTCCAGGGGGAATCTTGTATTCTCCGCCGGGTAAACCGGCATCCGTTTCGCTCCAGGGGGAATCGTGTATTCTCCGCCGGGCAAACCGGCATCCGCTCCGCTCTAGGGGGAATCTTGTATTCTCCGCCGGGTAAATCGGCTTGCGATCCGCGCCGGGGGAATCTTCCGATTCTCCGCCGGGTAATCCGGCATCCGCTCCGCTCCGGGGGAATCTAGCATTCTCCACCAGATAGACTGGCATCCGCTGCGCCCCGGGGGAATCTCCCGATTCTCCGCCCGGTACACCGGCATCCGCTCCGCTCCGGGAGAATCTTCCGATTCTCCGTCGGGCCGACCGAATAAGACCGTGACTTTCTCGCCTACCGTTCCGAGAAACACCGCACCGTTAAGTCTTCGATCTACGGTAACATTTACATTGCATTTTGTTTTTTTTGTATATATTCCTCTCCGGAGGACCGAACGAACCGACCGAACACGTGACTGTCTCACGCATGATTCCGAGAAGCACCGTGTCGTAGATTCTTCCGTTTATTCAACTATTTTCTTGTACATATTATTTTTATTTGTTGTTTCTTTTGTTTTAATTGAATAAATGTAACTCGTTATTATAATCACCGGGTTCACTCATTTTCTTACCTGTTCCTGGAATCCGACGAGCTACTCCGCACAATTAAAAGATATAAAACAACGGAATATTTTCTCCCGAAAAAGTAGAACCGTTACATATATATATATATATATATATATATATATATATATGCGGCAAAATTTATTTAGTGTAGTTCAAACTACAGTAAGTTATAATAATTTTTTCTACATTGTTGGTTGTAAAACTGTGCCTCTTGTCGGTTAACATTAATTTATATGCGGAAAACGATCTCCCTACGTCACATGACGTTATAAGAGCATCTTTATATTTGCACCAATACTGTTGCGGAATTCCTTGTGGCCCTTCACAATTTACACCTTTCAAAATATCACTAATTTTGGATAATATGCTGAATTTAACATTTTTTTGCAATACAGCTTGAAATTTTTAATTGACCTGGAAAAAATGAATTATGTTTAAAATGTGATATTAAGTTTTATTATACAATTTTTAAAGTTAGAATATTACAATGTCATTCAGATTTTACCTTTTGTTCACAACTGCCAGGTATATTTTCCATATTGTGAATAACGTCACTAGATTCATTGAATGAGTTAGAGGTAAACTCAGTGTTTGTAATTGTTTCATTGTCTCAGGTAATATATGAAAATATGTTTGTATATATGTCAAATTTTGTTGCAAATATTTACATTGCATTGCCTCTTTTGCTGTTGTAATTGATGACGCTTCCTCTTTATTAAAAGATTCAATAATATCCTTGATTTTTTCGAAATACATTGCATAAAAAAATGCTGCTTCCAACCACGTTTCCCATCTTGTTAAGAGGTTGTAGTAGTTAACAGGTTGTGGTAGTAGTGGAAGATTTTGAAACCGATTTCTATAAGTTTGTACGCGTAATGGAGCTTTTAAGAAAACTTTTTTAATACTTGATATTAACTTGTTAACTGCCGGAAACTGAAGTCGCACCTCTTCTGCAACTCTATTTATTCCGTGCGCCAAACATGTTACATGCAACGTATTTCGAAAAAATATATTTAAATGTTTCCCAGCTTTCAACATATGTAGGTCGTTTGATAAGTTTGGTAAATTTCCACGAGATAGCGCTACAATCCATTTGATGACGCGACATCTCGAAAGATCCACTCTTCAAACCCCTTCAGGCCAAATTTCAGCCAGAAGGGACGCGTAGTTTCAAAGTCTGCCAAATACTCATTGACGGCGACAACGACTTCCTCATTTGACAAGAATTTCTTTTTACCGAACCAAGTTTTTAAGTTTGGGAACAGAAAGAAGTCACACGGAGCCAAATCCGGAGAATAAGGTGGATGAGAAATTAATTCATAGCTCAATTCGTGTAGTCTTGCTATTGCAACGGTCGACTTGTGGGGCGGCGCGTTTTTTTTCATATTTGTAGAAACTGCTAAATCACTCTCTTTAAATGACTACCGAACGTGAACTACGCGTCTCTTCTGGCTGAAATTTGGCCTGAAAAAGTCTGAAGAGTGGATCTTTCGAGATGTTGCGTCATCAAATGGATTGTAGCGCTATCTCATGGAAATTTACCAAACTTATCAAACGACTCACGTATATGCCGCGGCATCTGTAACGAGGAGCAATATCTTTTCTTCACTTATATTTGGCCATAGTGTCCTTGACGGAATTTACAAAGCGTGCAATACTTGCATGATTTGTTTTCGATAATTGCTGAGAAACTAACAAATGAGGTTGTGTCTTTTCATTTTCGCAAAGCTTGCCTACAATTAAATTTGCAATATATTGGCCAGTCGCATCTGTTGTTTCATCCACAGATATCCATATATTATTGTCACCAATATTGTTTTGAATATTTTCAATGGCTAAATTGTAGCACTCATCCAAATAATGTTTTCGAAGCGTCAATTCATCTGGAATATCTTGATTTGTGTATTCAAGAAATTCCTCCACACTGTATTGTTGAGACACTTCCAAGGCATGTTAACAGTCACCATAGCTTGACACATATCCATAAAAAAATTATTTCTTCTTGATGAACTTGCTGCATTTTGTAGATTGTGATTTTCCCTATTAACATTATGTTTATTATAATCTATAACATTTTTTTATGTATTCCTGTATCTAAATGTTGTCGAATTTGTGATTTCCTATCACATCGAATTTGCTTATCACATATTTTACACCTAACTTCTTCTCCTTCTGCAGTAATACAATTATCTCCCAAAGTTGCAATCCAGTTGGAGATCTTTACACGTTTGCAGTTTTTTGCTTTAGGCATTTTTCTAAAATTTTACTTTTAAATCCGAGTTTGCTGTTACCACAATCAATTGATTTATGTAACTAAATAATATAAATCACTTGCGATACCATAAGGCTTGTTATACATTAATCGCAAGTCGTAGATTTAAAAAAATTAACTAATTCGCAAAATTAACCAATCGCGTTAATTAAATTACTTAATCAATCACACGATTGGTTGATTTTGCGACATCTACGACTTGCGTTTGCGTCTTGCGACTAATGTAGGATAAACCTAAGACACTTTACTATTGTAGCAGCATATAGTTTAATATCATAACAGTAGGGAAACAATATCAAAACAAAGACGGTAATTTGAATTTCGAAAGTCGTGTTTGAGACAAACGACTGATACAATTGTCGTTATATTTCTAAATAATAATTTCTAAATAAGTTATAAGCCAATAAAGGAAATACAAGTGCGACTGACAGTTCGATTTGCAAAAATTTATTTATTTCGTTTCTTTTTGCTTGATAAACTGTCGATCAAATGCACGTATGCAACACATCAATGCATTTATACAAACAATATACAGTAATACAAAACATATGTAATATGTAAAATATGCAAAATAAAACCTACATTTCTAGAATTCTCCAGTGACAAAATACATTTAGGTCCCACAATAAATCTAGATCCTACAATTTTGTCAACTTCCTATAAGAATATGCATTTGCATAAACATTCGCGGTTTGATTATTACTATTCATATTTTTCACATTATTAGTACTGTTTTGTTATTTGTATTATTCTTCTTTAAATTATACAATTCTGTATATATTTCAATTCTATAGTTGCGTATACCTTCCTATAGATATAAGAGCGCGCAAACCACGCACATGTGTGCGCAATACGGACTGCAAACAAATACCTGTGTTGGTTCGACACGGCACAGATGCGTGACACGGCGCGCAAACAAGCACGTACCGCACACCGACTCCGGACGGACCACTGTAGGCCGCTCCGGAGTATATAAGCCGACCGATTTCGGCAGTCAAGACTAGTTCCTTTCCCGAGCTCTCGAAGCGGTGTCTTGAGAGCGATCCTTCCAGCCGAGGCGTTGTCTTGAGCATATCCTGACCGTTCGGTCAAAACATTGTCTCGACTTACCGTGTCAGAGCAGTGATGAAAGATCTGGCAGGCTAGCACTAAGAGCACCGAGGTGGTGGAGGCACGCACACAAGCGAGAAGCGCCGTCCGTGTGCGTGATGTCACGCTCGGCTGTTCGGCTCGTGGAAGAGTGCGGACATACTATGTTCCGTCTTCTTTCCCCCAAGCCTACTATGCAAACAAGCACTGAAGGTAGAAAGCAACGTTTCACGTTGTGCGCTTGCAGCGTATGACAACGCAAAATGCTTTTCCAAGACTGTAAGTCTTGGAAAAAGTACATAATATTATTGATAAGGATGAGTTAAACATCTCAAGATGCATTCATATTATTATATTTGCATTAATTTTCAATATAAGTTAACTGTGATAATTTGAAAGTTTTTAGAATATTAAAAAACATGTAATATATACATAAACTATATATTAGTATTAATAATTTTTCTATATTTTTAATTTGTAAATCACGAAAAGAATCTACATTTTACAGATGCACAATCCGAAAGTATTTAATTCATATAACATATCATATGAATATAATATATTAATTAATTGAATTTCGCATAATATGAATTAAATATTTTGAGATTATATGTCTGAAAAATGTAGATTCCTTTCATAATTTACAAAAAAAAATATATAAAACATAATACTAATAACTTTCAATATTCAAAACATTTTTGAATTCTTTCAGTTCATTCATATGTAATAATTCCTACAAAAATATAACGCATCTTGAAATGTTTTACCATCATCAATAATATTACTTTTTCCAAGACTGTAAATCTCGGAAAAAAATATAAATATATAAATTATAAATATATAAATATTATTCGTCTTTTAAATAAAAATTGTGTGTAAAGATTGACTTTGTTTAGACATAAGTTAAATAAAAACATTGAAATGTTTAATGTTCTATGGTATTTAATCTAGGCTTTCAATTTCCTTCTTTACAAATTATCCAATATATAGGTATTTTATATACAAGATGATCATGTCCGTGTATTCCTCAGCACTAAACATTTTATTTTTACGATATACTAGTGTACGCACGTTTGATGCTGCTGAACGACAGAGGATGTTGTACAACAAAAAAAGAAAATAAAGACTCATTTGTTATTAATTTGGTGACTTTTTTATTCCCACTACATTCTCTGTTGCTTAGGAGCATCTATCGTGTGTGCAATAGTACAGTATGACACTTCTTTATATGATATTTTTTGTTGGTTTTTTTTAAATCAACAAAATAAATAACAAATGAATCTTTATTTTCGTTTTTTGTTTTAGAACATTGTCTGTCGTTCAGCAGCATTAAACGTGCGTACACTAGTATATTGTAAAAATAAAATGTTTAGTACTAAAGAATACACGGACATGATCATCTTGTATGGTGAAGCCAGACAAAATGCTAATGCAGCGGCTGCACTTTACGCGGAGCGTTTTCCTATGCGTGAGCGACACCCATCATATAATGTTATTTTGAGATATGTACACCGCGCACGACAAACGGGAAGTGTACCAAATCTCCGAGGACAAGTTGGATCACCTGAGCAGCTTCACAGAAACAATGAAGAGCAAATTTTAAGAGAGTTTAAAGAGAATTCAAGCAACAGCACACGCCGTGTTGCCAGAGACCTTGGCTTATTGCGAGATATTGTGCATCGTACTCTCCGCCGTAACGGATTACATCCGTATCATTTACAAAAAGTGCAGCAACTACTTCCGGGAGACGAAGAACCGCGCATTTATTTTTCTGAAGGTAATTATTGTTTCCATTTAAANGTAACACTATTTTTAAGAACTATTTATTATCGGCAAAACAGNGTTCCTCGCGCAATGTCGGCAAAATCCTTTGTTCCCCGACTATATTTTATGGACGGACGAGGCGACTTTTACACCAAACGGTGTATTTAATTCGCGTAACTTTATATTATGGAGCGAGGAAAACCCGCACGCCGTTCGTCAAGGTGCATTTCAATACAGATATTCGATTAATGTGTGGACAGGAATAATAGGGAACCAAATCGTGAGTAGAGAATTTTTTTTTGTGAATTAAATAATTCTCTTTTCTCTCCCAGCACTGTCAAATAATATTATTTCAAATCGGTCCTTATTTTTTTCCGTCACGGTTAAATGGACAATTGTACGCCAATTTTTTGGAAAACACGTTGCCCGTGCTCCTAGAAAACGTGCCACTGAGAACGCGACAACAGCTGATATTTCAGCATGACGGAGCACCAGCTCATTTTTCGCGTCGAGCACGCGATGTATTAGATGCGCGTTATCCGGACAAATAGATGGGTTGTGGTGGCCCAATCGATTGGCTGGTGCGGTCGCCAGATCTTAACGTGCTCGACTATTTCGTTTGGGGTCATATCAAACACCTAGTCGAACAGGCGTGATGGTGAGGAAGGTGAAGTACAAAAAGCAATTCTCGCTGCCTTCAACACCATCACTCCAGAGATGGCGCACCGTGCGACGCGTGATATTGTTCGAAAGGTTGAACTTTGTTTGCAAGAACAAGGTTCGCACTTCGAACAATTTTTGCATTAAATAATGAGAGTGGACTAGACCTGTTGAGAATACCACTATAAAAAAAATGCGCCATGCTATCTACCTCAAAGGTGGTNAGGAAATGATAGCGCACTTTGTATCAGCAAGAAAATTAAAATAAACTCTTNAAAAATACACTTATAGGTAAATAGTTTCCTTCAAATTTTTACAAATAAGATCATTATGTAGTTAAAAGAATATTATTTAGCAATATTTAAAATATGTTTTACAAATATTATTATTGTAAATATTTTTTGTATGGAAAACAAAATGTATAATAAAATATATACACATGTACAAAATGTATAAATATGTTGCGTGTGTATTATAAAATTTGTAAAATTCTCTGTTTAAAATAGGACAAGAACAGAAACAAAAAGCAAACCAGTGCAACAGTAGTATTTGCAACGGTAAATAAAATCAAATAAGCAGGCTGATGCGAGCAAACATACAAAATGCTAATGTGTTTAATTCTTTATTGAAACCATAAATTTACAACTGACAAATCTTTATCAGTGTATTAACAGATACACGTAATGACAAATTGTTATAATTCCTTTGTCATTACATGTATCTGTTCCTACATTGATGAAGATTCGTCTGTTGTAAGTTTATGATTTCAATAAAGAATTAAACACGTCTTGTATGTTTGCTCGCATCGGCCTGTTTATTCGGTTTTATTGTTTGACGAGCTTCAATCACTTTGTTAACGGTAACTTCAAACTTTTTTCCATGAAATTCTTTTTATAAATAAACTAAGTACATAAATAACATAATAATCATTATATCGACATTTTGATATTACAATTATGTAAGTAAAAAAAAATAGGTTATATGATCAAAAAAAGATGTCGATAACGATTATTCATTTATTTACTTATTTATATATTAAAAAATCCCATAAAGAATAAAAAAAAAATTTAATTTCTTCTAATAATAAAAGTTTTCTTCTATGTAAACCTTGAAATATAAAAAAATAAGTAAATAAATAATTATTTATACAGTAATAAGTAAATACCTAATTACAAAAGTATAAAAGAACTCAGTTTTAACTTATCTTGACATTAGACTTATTTATTTCACTTATAAAAGTACAAAGTTTATATTTTCGCGTCACATTAGCTAGTCGTCGGCAGTTATTGATTTTTTATGTATATTGTTACAAGTGTTACGCGGCGGACACCGCGTATGTGTCGCGAGAGCCGCGCGAACGGCGCGCGCTCGGCGCGACTGTTTTGTTGCCGGGCGACCGGCGTTGTTTGAAAGAGACGAAGCTCGGAGCTGTCACGACGCGCCTCGACGATTTCTGTTACGCGTAATTTTCTCTTGTATTTCTGTTGTAAAATAATAATAAAGTGTTGTGGAAAGAAGTCGCGTCCTTTCTTCTCTGTCGCAAACGCGCGCGATTTACGACAAACGCGCGAGTGTAATAATATTATATGCTGCTTATTAGTTCCTGTCATTCCGTTGGTACGGTGTACGAGCGCGCGAAAAAATGACGTCTCCAAACTATCATTTTGCACGTGGCTGCACGTTTATTCGGGAATATTTATGTATAAAGATCTCGTTAAAAATTGCGAATCTCGCAAAATGGTAAAAAACTTTTCGACTCAGAATAACTCCTTCTATCTACACACAAGCGGTTATACGGTCATTATCAGACACCCTGTATATATATATATATATATATATATATCAGAATAAGAAAAACATCTCTTGAATAACAATACACGCATACTTTACACATTGTAGAAATTTTAACATTTATTAAATGTGTATTTTATTTTTCTTTTTTCACATAATCGAGAATAAAAGTTTTCGCAAACATCATAGCTTGCAGCTAAACAAAACTACGATTCCAATAAAATTACAGAACTGAGAGAAATACTATTACTTCGACAATGTAACGAATCTTAAATGTGTAGAACAAATAAATTACGGCTATCCTCTTGTTACGCATGAAAATGTTTTCTCGATTGACATCAAACAAAAAACATCTCGGCAGTCCAAATGCATTTTTACATATCACGTATTAAAATTTACCGTTAAAGCTTAACCTGTTGAAGCTTATTCTTAAACCTTACGCAAAGATCGGTAAGGTATCACCAGTAAGTCGCTACCATTACAGTTAGTTGCAAAATTAATAACTTTTAAACTAAAAGAGATAGAAGAAAACAGTTTGCGCCATAATGCTTAGCGCAACAACCTGCAAAATACCAGCTTAGTTCGAACTTTCTAACTTTAGTTATTACCAATCAATTGTTTAAATACTAGAAATTATCAAATTTTTACCGTGTGATATTTTGCAACTAACCAATAGAAACTGAGATGTAAAAACCATTTTGCTCTAAGTTTTACCGTTTTCGAAATATTCAATTTGTTAACTTTCACTCTTTGTCATAAATCGCAGAGTAGCCGATTGAAGGTATCTGCAAAATTAGTTTCAAGCTATTTCTTCTGGTTTTCGAGATATCCGTGATTGGCGAAAAAGACTATGTATCGTTAAATGTAGAATATTAAAATAAATCAAATGTGTATATTTGTCATTCATAAACTTTATTATTGTAAAACCGCGTTTTTGGGAACTCTCCAATCATACATTGTACACTAACATACTTGTGACAAAAGTAAAACCATGCTTTAACTTTTTTCCGTTATTATATACTACAAAACATTTTTTCTCTAAAAACCTGTTTTATTGGTGAAAAACATTATACAACATAATTGTGTAACAACAACATAACTATAGTAAACAAATGAATGAAATAAATTTGGTTGTAGGAGCCGTTTGCAGGATGTTGTGCAGAGAATGTGCTTGAAAATATATATATGTATACACATATATACGTCGAAATAATTTTTTTCCTTTATATAGGATGCTGGATTAGCATCACGTATATATGAAGGACCCCGAATACTCCCCTAAATAATTTTAAAATATTACGAAAAAAAACTCTTCAGCCAGGAGTCAAACCTGGAATCTCCGGCTTTCCGGGCCGTCGCTTTTCCTGTTAGGCCACCGAGGCACTTGGAGTTTGTCTCGCAATACTTAGCACATCTATCGAATATTAATCAGATAATAACGCCATCTTCCACCAGCGTAAATTTAAAGTAATAATAAACAAGAAGAAGATTCTTCGGGCTCCGGAGTCTTTAAGCAAATGAATAAAATAAATTCGGTTGTAGGAGCTGTTTGCAGGATGTTGTGCAGAAAATGTGCTTGAAAATATAGTATATATATATGTATACACATATATACTTCAAAATAATTTTTTTCCTTTATATAGGATGCTGGATTTGCATCACGTATACATGAAGGACCCAAATACTCCCCTAAATAATTTTAAAATATTGCGAAAAAAATTTATATATACGTGATGCAAATCCAGCATCCTATATGGAGGAAAAAAAGTATTTTGACGTATATTTGTGTATACATATATATATTTTGAAGCACATTCTTTGCACAACATCCTGCAAACGGCTCCTACAACCAAATTTATTTCATTCATTTGTTTAAAGACTCCGGAGCCCGAAGAATCTTCTTCTTGTTTATTATTAATTTATAACTGTAGTAAGACTACGCTTTAATTTTTTTCTATGTAATTATTAATAACTAACAGAAATATGTAAGGCCGATACGAGCCATTCGCAGGATGTTTGTGCGGAAACTAAGCGTGTACATATATATATATATATATACATGTAACGAATTATACTTATAAATTTTTACAAGTATTTTTTGAATNGTGTACATATATATATATATATACATGTAACGAATTATACTTATAAATTTTTACAAGTATTTTTTGAATTGAAAATCTCAATTCTTAAAATCATACGGGATGCTAGATTTGCATCTCACATATGAAATACCCCAAATACCCCCCTAACTAAATTTTAAAATATTGCGAAAAAAACTCCTCGGCCAGGAGTCGAACCTGGAATCTCCGGCTTTCCGTGCCATCGCCTTCCCTGTTAGGCGACCGATTTATTAATAACTAATCCTAAGTTCATAACTATGTACTTTGGTAAGATTATATTTATTACTAGAACATAGAGATGTAACAAAAACAATTTTTTTCATATTACAAACAATATTTAATGCAAAAACAGTTGGCTCGGCTGCTCTCCAACTATAATAAAATTATTTTTTATGCGGCAGTTTGATACAGAAATTAAAAATTGATTTAATACAACAATTTCTTTTACTACAGAAAGGTTTTTACTACAACATATGTAATGCAAAACAACTTGGCGCAACTGCAAAAAAAAAGTCGAAAAACGAGCTATTTTAAATACAATTTATTTTTATATTTTGCGTATATCAAGAAGCACGGTAATGCCAGTGATGAAAGATTTAACCAGCCAGCACCAAAGGCAAGAGGTGGGGGCACGCACCGCTCCTTTTTTTTGTCTTCTTAAATCAAGAATTTTTAATAAAATATTATTTATTAATAAAAAATTTGCTATTATTATATTTAATAACTAATAATTGTGTTATATTAAATAAATGACTTACTAGTAAAATTGTTCTGCTCCTGTTGCTGCTGTTGCTGTTGTTGGTGCTGCTGTTGCTTCTGCTGCTGCTGCTGTTGCAATTGCAACATTTCTTGTTGCAATTGTTGTTGCATTTGCAACTGTTGCTGCAGCTGCTGTTGTTGTTTATTAATAAATAATATTTTATTAAAAATTTCTGATTTAGGGAGACGAAGAAGAAGAGCGGGCTGCTGCAGAGGCCGCTGGTACCATCAGCGGATTTGCCGAGGTGAAATAATGATCTTGCGCGGAAAAGCAGGCCGGCGTGAAAGAAGAGGCCCGCGTGGAAGAGACGCCAGTAGTAGCACACCGATTATTCAATATTATATTAATTCTTAATATAATTAATAGAATGCTGAATACTCGGTTTGACATAATAATATTACCTAAAAAATATTTCATATTACAATAAATTTAAAAAAGAAAAAAAATATTTCTAAAAGTATAAAAAAATTGTTATTATATTTTATATGTTCAATTAGAAAATAAGTACATATGACTTCAATTAGAAAATAAGCACTAAGCTGTATAGTTCAGCTCAACACTTCTATAGACAGGATCCTATATCACAAATATCCACATCTATAAATAATAGATGTGTTCAAACCTTAGCTTGTCTGACATAGAATGTCAGACATCCATATTTAAAAATAATAGATATAAAATAAAATGTGTATGGTAGAATATACGGCTACAGGCGAAGATCTAAAGAACCTAACGCACTATTAGTGGCATCTCAAGGATAGTATAGCAGATCACTTAATAATAATAAAAAATAATATTACTTATTAGTTCAAAAACTTAAATTTGTATTATATAATTGTATATTGAAAATGTTTAATATTATAACAAGATTGCTTTCAGTAGCTAAATATTTATTTAACATTTTAGGTCCATTTTTTGTCGAGCTATCGGAAAATACATGAGATTTCATGTCAAGAGACAAAAACATTGCATAGTTGTTAATTGATTCGACGAATCGCGATGTCACCAACATAGAAATCTCGATGTGTGAGACGAGCGGGAAACATAGAACGTGTCGCGCATCAAAGTGTCTACAGTAAACACATCGAAGCTTTCATTTTTACTGCCAATCAATGTTATGATGTAATATAAGAATATATATTGCACAACTTGTAAAATATGAAAGTAGAAGAGCTTATATTAATTATCATAATACATTAAACTTTAATGTTACACTGAAACTTCATTTATTTTCCCTCTCACTTATCTTCTCACTCGGTTATCTTCCCATAAAATCTCTCAGTTATATTCCCACTTAGTTTCTTCTCTATCTCCCATTCTTACTTCTCTCTCATTCTCCCTTCTCGCACTTAGCAGAACAAACGAGGCGCGGGAAACGGCATGATTTGCAGCAGCCAATCACACTGCAATCGTAATGGAAAACCACCTTTAATCCGCAGCAGTGGTGGGATCCCCTCTGAAAGGAAAATAAATGAAGTGCTCATGTTTCATGAGTGGGAAAATAAATGAAGTTTCAGTGTATTAAACTTATGCTACAAAAAGATTTACACTCAATCTGTATACTTAAGAGTCATATATATAGTATTTATATATTTAATAATGATTTACAACTCATTGAAAGTAAAACCAAGAAATATACAAGGCTTTCCGAGCCGTTTCCAGGATGTTGAGCGGAAACTGTATGTGTGTATATATTTATGCATATATATATTGTGACGTGGTAATCGCGCCGCTCCTCCCTCGCCACAAAAAGCTCTCATGATCGCGGGAGTCCGGGGGTGCGAATCGTCTGGGAAGCGCCAAGATCCTCCAGGGCTTGCTTGCGTGCGTTAGATTTAGTTGCTCACCACATCGAGAACACACTACTGGAGGAGATATCAGGAACCATCGATTCTGGGTAAAGGCGAGAGTAAACGAGAGAGAAGGGTGTGCGTGGAGTCGCAGCTAGGCACTCGCACGACGACCAGAGGAGGGAGTTTCCGGAAATAAGCGGCGAGAAAGAGGACAACGCGGAGGACAGCGAACCTTGGCGCTGAGAAGCCGAGGAAGCGAGGCGAACACCCGACGAGGGAAACAGCTTTAACTTTCCCTTTCACCTCGAAAAGGCCTGCTGCACACCCCGCTGCTAACCTGCAACTACGACCCTGCTAAGCTACTGCATGCTGCATCGCTAGTGCATTTGCGGAATTCTGCGCTTGAACATATCCGCTGCTTACATTTTCGCTAGTAAGGGCCCGGTACTCGCTTTGAACTTCGCAGCCGCGAGTCCTGCCGCCGAGCGCGAGCATCGCGTCGCATGTAGCGCCCCTCGCGACCTGATTGGTCGCCGCGATCTACCCTACGCGATCCTAGCGCGCTCAGACGCATCGACCCCGAATCGATC